TTTGTAGAGAAAATTACTACAAGGTTAATCCTGGCATTTCATTTGGGAGTTCTCAGGAGAAGTAGAGTGTGTGTCCGTGGCTTTTTAAGTTACCTGTGCAGTGTTAAAAGCAGAATTATAAAGAAAATACTATAGTAAAAATAACACTTATGCATATTAAACAATGCAAATAAAATTTTATTATTTGAAAAATATCTATCTGTAGAAAGTTAAATTGGACTTTGAAATACACTGCAGATAGCAGAACTGCAGACATTAGGGTAGAAAAACCAGGAGTAAGTGCTAAGGCACAAACAGTAAGTACTGAGGTACAAAAAGTGTCAGTAATTTGTTGAGTATTCCATTTGTAACACTGGGGTAAGGACACCTATGCTCCCATCACTGGGTTGCTTATCTTCCTACTGACTGTGCAGTCCCCCTTTTACAACTTCAGTGATATCTTAAAGGCATGAAGTAGATTACATCTCTCCTCTGCCTAATTGTTTTTGTTGATTTTAGGATAAAAAAGAAAGCCTCACCTGCCCTTGCTTGTCTGAGCAGTTTATTTTTCCATCCTCATTTTAGCCTACTCTTCCTCTTGAACTCATTCTCTAGTCCAGGGTCTCCTGATCTCCACACTACTCTAATGCAGTTGATTATTGATTCTGCTTTACCTACCATCTAGTAGCTCCTCATCATTAGAAACTCAGTGTCTGTTACAGTGGTTAGAATATAGAATATAATAGGCCATCTGCAAATATTTGTACTAAGAAGAAAAAAAAACGAGTAGGAAACAACAATAGGAATGTTTATACTGAGGATACATGAAATATAAAAATATATGGTATTAAGGAAAAAGCAACAAAGCAGTGTGTCTATCTATGAACCCAAATGATTTTGAAGGGCATGGCTTGAGAGATGATAACAGAACAAACTTCTCCAATGGTCATAGTCACTGAAATAATTCAGTTCTTTATACCTTACTCAACATTAAGGACTGTGATAAATGAAATGTGAAAAGATTTATGAAACTCAGGATTAGCACCAAAGCAACCAGATGGTTGTAGTCGGCAGAGCCTCCATCACTGGGTCACATGGACACAAGCCTGCTGTACTTATGTGGACAAGCTCCCACTGAACATTTCAATTTTAATGCACCACTATTACTTGTAAATAAAGTCTCCCAGAAGATAGAGAATTGGAAGTATAAGTATAAAACCATAATTGAATTCAGTAAATTTCCCTTACATTATGATCTAGATTTTTTATGGTAAAAAAATTACTGATTTCTGCTAAATACATTTCTAACATTGAATTTGCTGTGTCAAGTAATGTCATATGTCCAGAATTATGACTGAAAAAAATTGGAGAAGTTTAAATGAAAATTGATTTTACAAATACCACAAATTTAGTAAATACTTGTAAAGCAAATGAAGACTGGTAAGAGGCTGGTCAGGAGGCTTCAATACTATATGCTACATCTCCTGAAATACTTTGATTAGTAAAAGGTGTGTCTTTAAGGCATTAATATACAACTCTCCATCTTCATTGAGTATTTAAATATGTCTCCAATCCCAAATATCTCTTGACATATATTTATAATTTCTCATTCATTTCTGAAGATCTAGAAGTATGTGCCATTTGTCTAAATGACTTTCAATTTCCTATTTGAATATATGGTATGAAAAGACTCAGAATGTTGCTGTCTTATTTACTATTATAACCAATTTTCTTATCTTTATTTTTTGAGTTTTTTTTATAATCACATCAACTGAAAACCTCAGTGGTCACTCTTTTGATGTATGATGTCCTTCCATATGCTGTGACTCTGTATCTCTCTCACTGGTTAGTGAATAAAGCTGTTTAATTCTAAGGCCAGGGAGAATAGAGCCAGGCAAGGAATTCAAAGTTACAGAGATAAAGAATGCAGAGTTAGAGAGACATCTTGTAGCCATAGAAGGAGTAACATGCCAGAGAATCACAGATAAGCCATGGCCATGTGGTGATACACAGATTAGCAGAAATAGATTAATTTAATTGTGAGAATTAGTCAGTAATATGCCTAAGACATTGGCCAAACCTTTAAAATTAATATTAAGCCTCTGAATGGTTGTCTAGTAAGCTGTTGTAGGGAAAGCAGGGCAGCTAGAAACAAGTTCAGTGAGACCAGGTGAGATAACTAATGCCATTATACACAGAAACCATGTCTCAAAACAAAACAAAACAAACAAAAAACCACCAAAACCAAAAACAACAATAATAAAAAAGTTTTTCACAGAGTTTCTAAGCCATAAGTAATAAATTATGGTTAAAATTTATGTGATAATGCCTAGAATAAAGCTACAGTCTCAGTCATGGTGGATGTGAGATTTTCAGAATGGTCTTATTCTGTTGCAACCTATCCTATCAAACATTGGTCCATTCAGTGAATGTTGGTCGAGTGCTTAGTATGTGTTTAACATTTTTTTTTCAAAATTCTGGTAGATAATGATGGATCAAACCCAAAACTGTCTCTGCCTACATGGAATTTAATTTTTTTAAAAAAAATTCTGGTAGATAATGATGAGTGAAACCCAAAACTGCCTCTGCCTGCATGGAATTTAATATCTACTTTGTGACAACTACCAAGCAGAAAATTAGGATGGGTTTAGGAGAAAAAAATGTATAGCACTGTCCAAAAAGGACTAAAGATAAGTAGAGTTCAAGTTTTATCATATGTATTTAATTCCAGGGTTCTTATTTTCCTAATTCAGTATTGAAAACAGTGAACTATAGTTTCTTGTATTTTTTTAGAAACAATGAGAAGCTTTTGAAAAATTAGAACTTACAATTCAATGCATACCGCAGACCCTTAACATTTGCAATTTTGTTTTAAGCAACTATACCACAGAAGGACCAAGACTATGGAAAATGACAAACCTATTTATCTCTCACTTCATTTCCTTTATCTGGATCTGAACAAAAGTTTATGTTACAATTGCTTTATTTTATTTTTTTAATTTATTTAATTCTTTATTAATTAATTAAAGATTTCTGTCTCTTCCCCACT